AATTTCTTGCCATCATCACTAGAGTCATCACTATCCGATGAGCCATCACTATCCGAAGTGACCACGTAGCCTCCACCTTTCTTCTTCTTTTGGAAGATCATCTTCTTCTCCTTCTTTTCCTTCTTCTCCTTCTTCTTCTTCTTCTTATCCTCATCATTATCACTATTGTAGGGGCAATCCGCTACAACAAGATCGGGGCTCTTGCAATTGTAGCATCTTCTCACATATTCTTTGCTTTTGGTGTGATCTCTTCTCTTTCTTGCACCTTAGCCCTTCTTCTTCATGAATTTGCCCATCTTGCGCACAAATAGAGCCATGGCCTCATCATTAATGTCACTAAGATCCTCATCATCACTTGATACTTTCTTGGACTTTCCCTTGTTCTTGGATGATGAGCTAGCCTTGAATGATACACTCTTCTTCTTCTTGTCTTCTTCTTCCTTCTTGTCATCCTTGTCAACCCCTTCCCTTTCCACACGGTATGTCTCTTATATCATGACATCACCTAGTACTTGGTTAGGGGTAATCTCCTTCAATCCTCCTCTTATGATAAGCAATCTCAACATCTCAAATCTTGGAGGTAGGCACATCAAGAACCGATGAGAGACATCATCATCCTTGATCTTCTCTCCCAAAGCCTTCAAGTCATTGACAATTACTTGCAACCGATGGAACATCTCTGGAATGCTCTCATCATCCTTCATCTTGAAGCTTATCAACTTATCCTTGAGGATGTACAACTTGGCACTCTTCACCGCCGGTGTGCCCTTATGTGTTTCCTCCAATCTCCTCCACACCTCATTAGCTCTTTCACAATCCTTGATTTGCTCAAACACCTTGGAATTAATGGCATTGTATATGGTGTTGAGAGCCATTGTATTGCATTGCTTGTTGGTCTTGTCTTGGTTGGTGGGATTTTGGGATCAATGATAGCATAGTCATTCTCGGTCACCTCCCATACTTGATCATTGATTGAACCAAGATACATCCTCATCTTTCTCTTCCAATAATCATAGCATGTGCCATCAAAGAACGGTGGTTTGCCCCCCCCCCACATGGTTGAACACAACTTGAGCCATAATTTGACACCGAGGTTGTTAAGCCTTTAATCAAACGGTGACCATGGCTTCGATACCACGTGAAAGGTCCTAATATGGCTATAGGGGGGGTGAATAGCCTATTTAAAAATCTACAAATTAACTAGAGCAATTTGATTAGTATAACACATAAAGAAATGCAAACTTGCTCTAGCTCTACAAGGGTTGCAAGCCACCTATCCAATAATTCTAGTTGCTATGATCTCTAGACACACAATTTTCTATGTCACTACTCACTAAGAGCTCTCACACTTGCTACACTAAAGAGCTCCACTAAATGAACTTAAAACAACAAAGCAAGCTCTCAATTCTAATTACACTAAAGAGCTTGCTACAACTAGTTTGCAAGAATATACATAAGTGAGTAGGGTGATTATACCGCCGTGTAGAGGAGTAAACCAATCACAAGATGAATACTAAATCAATCACCAGGAGAATACCAAAGGGCAAGAGACAACCAATTTTTCTCCCGAGGTTCACGTGCTTGCCGGCATGCTAGTCCCCGTTGTGTGGACCAACACCTTATGGTTCGGCGGCTAAGAGGTGTTGCACGAACCTCGTCCACACAATTAGACACCTCAAGAACCTACCCACAAGTGAGGTAACTCAATGACACGAGCAATCCACTAGAGTTACCTTTCGGTGCTCCGCCAGGGAAGGCACAAGACCCCTCACAATCACCACGATCAGAGCCAGAGACAATCACCAACCTCCGCTCAATGATCCTCGCTGCTCCAAACCATCTAGGTGACGGCAACCACCATGAGTAACAAGTGAATCCCGTAGCGAAACACAAATACTAAGTGCCTCTAGATGCAATCACTCAAGCAATGCACTTGGATTCTCTCCCAATCTCACAAAGATATGAATCAATGATGGAGATGAGTGGGGGGATTTAGCTAAGCTCACAAGGTTGCTATGTCAATGCAAATGGCCAAGAGAGTGAGCTTGAGCCGGCCATGGGGCTTAAATAGAAGCCCCCACGAAATAGAGTCGTTGGCTCCTCAGTCCACTGAAAAATGGGACGACCGGATGCGTAGGTTAGATCGATCGGACGCTGGACCCCAGCGTCTGGTCACGCGATGTGTGCCACGTGTCCCCTGCTTCAAACGTTGATCGCCCAATCTCAACGGTCATCAGTACATTTAAGTTGTGACCGGACGCGCTGGTTCAAAGTGACCGGACGTAGGACCCCAAGCATCCGGTCATTTCTAGTAAGGTACCAGTCACGACCGGACGTGTCCGGTCACCACCGACCGGACACACCCAGCGTCCGATCACTCGCTGTCTCCTCTATGCGCCGCCACATCAGCGTACATCAGCATTGACCGGATGTGGACCTTGAGCATCCGATCACTCTTCGCGCCAGCATCCGGTCACAAGACCGAGACGCGCGCTCACTGCAGCTACTGACCGGACACAGAACTCCAGCGTCTGGTCACTCTGTGAAACCCTGCCTTTTCTGTACTAGACGCCGGTGGCACCGTTGGACTGTCTGCACTCTACGAGCGGACACTCCGCCGGTGGAGTTTCGAACCCTTGCTCAAATGTGCCAACCACCAAGTGTATCACCTTGTGCACATGTGTGTTAGCATATTTTCACAAACATTTTCAAGGGTGTTAGCACTCCACTAGATCCTAAATACATATGCAATGAGTTAGAGCATCTAGTGGCACTTTGATAACCGTATTTCACTACGAGTTTCACCCCTCTTAATAGTACGGCTATCAAACCTAAATGTGATCATACTCGCTAAGTGTCTTGATCACCAAAACAAAATGGCTCCTACTACTTATACCTTTGCCTTTAGCCTTTTGTTTTTCTCTTTCTTCTTTTCAAGTCCAAGCACTTGATCATCACCATGCCATCATCATCATCATCATGTCATCATCGTCATTTGCTTCACCACTTGGAATATGCCACCTATCTCATAATCACTTAGATAAACTAGGTTAGCACTTTGGGTTTCATCAATTCACCAAAACCAAACTAGAGCTTTCAAAAGGGTGCACAAAGGATTTGAGGTGAGATTCCTCTACTTCAAGCATGATGTGGTTGTGGAAATCGATCTTGATGGATGACTTGTTCCCATATTTCTCCGCTAACAATGCAAGGGGATGAAAGCACTTCTTGCTCTCCTATAACAATGGTGATAGCCTGAGGTGATGGTGGTGCTTGGGATTTCCTCCAACACTTCTCCTTGTCTCATTCGACTTCCTTTACTCTTCTTCTCCTTGCTTCTAGGGTTCTAAGTGTTCTTGAGTGATGGCCTAGCTTTGACTGTGAGTCAAGTGGGCAGACCGCTGGTGTTCACCATAGATCCATTGGTTATTTAAAGACACCTCAGTAGATCATATATCGAGGCCTGAACTTGAATTTGTGTCAAGTGGCGAAGTTACTAGTGAGCACCTTATGATCCGGTGGAGAATTCGTGGTGCCCGGTGGATCATCTAGTGAGAATGTGCCTCAACTATGTGTCAAATTAGCCAAGTCTCTAGAATGCATTGTATGATCCGGTGCTGACTTCATGGTTGGTGAGGCATATTCTGGTATACTCCCTTTTGACTGTTGGAAAACTAGCCTATATAGGATCATTGTATGATCCAGTGCGACTCCATGGTGCCTGGCAGATCATCCAGTGATGTATGTCTCTTATAGACTTTTCTCCAATAGCTAGCAGGGGCTTCACACCCTATATATGTGGCTTGCCTTCCCTAGCTCATTTGGAGCTTCTCTTTCACCATAGCTATGAGACACATATAGAGGGGCTTTTGTGAAGTGTGTGAGACCCATCCAAGTTAAGATCACCAATTGGGAGAGTGTGCGTTGTGTGCATGCGATGTTCTTGGCTTAGTTTTTGTTATGGTGTTGTTGTTTGTTACTCTTGGTGTTTGCTAGTGGGTATAGACGGCCCGGTAGAGGGCCAGGTAAGCTTCCCGATGGAGGACTTTTTGTTGGGAGTCTCATATTGGTGTTCACAGTTTGAAACCCACCATTCCAATGTGGAGAATGAGTATTCACTAGTGAGTACTTGAGACTTCATGACTCAAGTAAGCTAAATAGAGTGTTTGTGACTCTTTGGTCCACCAACTTGGAATGGGGTGTTGTGGTAACAACCCAATACCATGGGAAAAAATCCAGTTGTCTCTTTGCCTGTTTTACTTTGTTGCATTACTTCTTCATCCTAGTTTTGTGCTTTTTATTTTTTGTGTGTGCAAATTCAATGGTGTCATAACTAGAATTATATGTTATAGTATGCTAAGTGATAGATTTGCCTTCCCCACGCCTAAGGACATTAATCTTTAGAGTGGACCTTGCTAAGGACATAGTATGATGATCCTAAGGACTCATTGGTGTGATCTTTTTAGTCTTAGGTGCCACTGTGTATGTGGGTGAAGTGGTACATGCATAGGCTAAGGTTTTGCTATTTAAATTTTAAAGTCCAATCCTCCTCTTGGGCCAAGCGGTCCAATCAATCTGCCGACCATCCCCTCAAGTTTATCTAATCAGGTAAATCTCCACTGCCAAACCCTAGATCCCCTATCTTTTTTTCCTTTTCTAAATTTGTGGTGATTCTTTTTTTATTAGAAATAGGAACCATATGTGGTGATTTTTTAAATAGAAAATATGCTGAGCGCTCAAATAAGTTTTATTTGGACAAAGTTAACCTCTTCCCTTCTCCGGCAGTAACAGTAGCTCACCAAGCTGTACCTTTGTGAGCATTGCACAATCAGAATCCATTTTGCCCTTTTGGGGTCAGAAGAACAAGACGATCTCAGTCTCCGAACAATCCTGCCCCTGTCCCTGCTGCAAAACGAGGTCGCCGTCTTCTCTGGCTCAACTTGCTGCGGTGTTTGGATTCGTCAGATAACGAGACCCCACGGCGCTGTTTCCCGGCGGAGATGGATTCGGGCGCGGACACCGCCGGTGAGTTCCTCCGCTCCCGTACTGAGTACCTCGTGGCCGTTGATTTTGGTTCCTGCGGGGCCGTCACAAATTCAGGTGGTTGGCTGGCTGGCTCGTGCAGGCGAGGCGCTCGACGAAATGCCCCAAGAGAAGAGGCGAAGATTTGACGCCGAGCGCGACTCGTCGCCGTCGTCGCCGTGGGCGGGCCTCCAGGCTGACGCCCTGGGCGTCGTGCTCCGCTTCCTCCCCTGCCTCGCCGACCGCGCCAGGGTGCGGTCCGTGTGCCGCAACTGGCGCGCCGCCTCCCGCGGCCGCGGCGTGGCCCCGCCCCTGCCCGTGCTGGTGATGCCCAGGTTCAGGTTCGCCGGCATGACCCCCGGGGGCGTGCTGACGGCGACGGCGCGGCACGCTTGGATGCCGTCGGAGGTGGATGCCGATCATGCCGACTGCGTGGGATCCTCTGATGCGTGGCTCGTGGGCGCCAGGCAGGCCGGCGGCGAGTGCTTCTTGGTGAATGCCTTCTCCCACGTGGTGCTCCATCTACCGCGCCTGGGCGATTCCGATCACAGCCATTGGGCCTGCTCACTGCGCAAAGTGGCGCTATCTGGTTCACCTGAGACGGGACCCAAGTGCATTGTGGCTGCTTTCGCGTTCTGCAGGTCCAAGCCTGAACTGGCGCTCTGGAGACCTGGGATGAAGGCATGGCGTGTTTGGCAGCATTCTTTGATTGCTGGGCATATCGATATGGCCTTCTATCAGGGGAGACTGTACATGCTCTGGAGGTTCTCGCCATCCCTCTTCGTCTTTGAAATCGCAGAGGATGGGCATGGGGTCAAGTTCTCTCGTATGAAGGATTGTCTGCTGGAGAAGCTCCTCCCTACCCCTCTTGGGTCCAATCATGTATTGAGCTGCAACATGGTGGAGTGGCGCGGAAGACTGTTGTTGATCATCAGATACTATGGTGGTTACCAAGTCAGGCACAGAGTTCTTAAGGTTGAAGTGTTTGCGATGGACTTCAGCACGAAACCAATTAGCCTAACTGAGATCCACAGTTTTGGTGGCGACTGCATCTTTGTTGGTTCAGGCGGCTGCAAGTCCTTTCCTGCTGGTCAGTACCGTGGAGTTGAAGGCGACCTTATCTACTTTGTTCCTGATCATTACAACCCTCATGATGCATTTGTGTACAACATGAGAGATGGAAAGACAAGGCTCATTGTTGAGCCATTGCCTCGCCGCATTTGTGCACCAGTGCAGAGCCTCGGTTTCCCAGTGTGGTTGTTTCCTCCGGAGTAATCAGGCACGTCTGATGTACTGGGTGGTGGCTGGTGGGTGCTGCAGTTTGCTGTCAGAGATAATGTGTACTTTGATGCATTCTGTATTGCAACCCCATTTGTAGGAGAAATCTGTATCTTGTTCCTGGTTTCCTGCCTGTATGGTGAGGGATTGCCCAGTTGCAGGAGAACTGAGATCAGAGGAAGAACTCGATCTCTGCAATCAATGCTTATGTATGTGCCTCAAATGCTCGAAATGCAAGTATTTAATTGGCGCTTCTGATGGTATTTATCCTGTGTCTTTTTTTTCCTGTTGTACTGGTCTTAAGCTGCTGGTTTCCTTTGACTTGATAGTGGATACAGATCAAGCATGATGAAATATTCTGCTATTGTTAGTGGTGTGGTGTATCTTGAAGAGTGATATTAGTTCGTACTGTAAATGGTAACCAGTCAAAATGTGTTTAAATAGCCGTGAACTGTGAATCTGGATTACTTTCTTCTTTCTTGGTGAAACATGAGTGCCTGACACAGCCATGGTTCCTGCTGATCCAATAAGATGCAGCGTCTAGTTCTTTCTGTCCATGCCCCTCTGAAGTTTGCAATTGGCATCTTGTCTTGACGGTTCTCTTGAATCAATGTTTGTTTTGTTCTAGCGTTCATATTACCATGGACTGCAAATATTTTATGAAAATTATGCAAAAAAAAGGACGTCTATGGAACTATTGAGCTATTTGAGAGTTACGACATCCAATTCAAATGTGTATCAGATATGGGAAGAACCGCATGAATTCAAATAAATGTGTATCAAGAAAAAGCCTTTTGACCTCCTCAATTTTTGCGACCGTTCGATTTTCCTCCTCATCAGATGAACCGGGTTTTCGACCCTTCCTAAATTATTAAAATATTTTTTTTCCACCAGCGGTTTTGATGAAAATTAAGAGAGATCAAAAAACTGATTTTGTAGATGAGAGTAGATCACAGAAGTTGAGCGAACCTAAAGGACTTTTTTCCTTCGCCAAAAGCCCAAAACCTGCTGCTCCCTGCCGGTGAAGCCCACTGGCGGCACCACCAGCACTCGGGCCAGGCCCAGGCCTGCGCGCCCGGGGCTAGGAGCTGCTGCTATCTGGGCCGAGCCTGCTTGTGTTTCGAGCTTGCGTAGTTTTACGCCGACGGCTAGCAGCACCCAGTAACTGCTTGTGGGGCCAAGCAGCTGGCCCAGCATGCGTGCTTCACCTGGTACGGGTACAAAGGCCACACTGCATGCACACATTGCACGGAGATGACGTCGAACTCATAGCTAGCAGTAACAGAAAAAAGTAACCGTGAACCTGTCGCGACACGTATTCATTTTTAGATAATGGAATAAACATCTAGGTTCATTCTCATTCATAAGTAAGAAACCAGACCACATTATTAAAAATAAGTTCTCACACCACATTTAAAGGAGACTCACAAAAATAATAGAAAATCAGTCCATAATCCTAGACATAACGGACCATCCGTAAGAGGAAAAAAAGGCCAAAACGATGTCTCTACGGTCTGACAGGTCTTGTAGATATATTATTTTTTCTTCACTTCAGTACAACTGACCTCAACACCGGAGCCAATTTGTTCCTGAATAAGACCTGCAAAAAAAATTTGGCACTGTACTTGTCAAAAACAGTATCATTTCTAATGAGCCATATATAAGAACCAACAGGAAGCAACCACCCCTGCTAGTAATAAGACGTTTAAATTTTTTCCACACTGCTTATACCGATTCCCAAAAAGGTTCGCCGTAGTACGCAGTGGGGAAATACCAAACACCATATGGCAACGCATGCCAGAGAAATTTAACATATTACACTAAAAAATAGGTGTTGAATACTCTCATAATTACTACAGAAGCAGCAATAATATTTGCATCCTTGCCAATTTCTTTTAGATAGGTTGTCTTTAGTTAGTATTACGACCTTTTTTTTAGAATCAAAGAAACATCTTAACTTTAACTTGTGTGTTACCGCGGTGTCATTAGTAATTAAGTATCCACTACTACAAAATTGATTTTGTGAGGCACTACCAAACATTAACACAGGCGGTCACAAAATCCAACATCTCCTAAAATACCTGATGATTAACGATGCGGTCGTTTTATTTATGGAGGCGGTCATTTTACTTACGCCGGCGGTCAAAAAATGTCCAACTCCAAAAATAGATTTAGGCGGTCTAAAATGTCCATCTCGGTAAATCATTTATGGATGCAGACATTTATAAGACATTCGCCTCCAAAATCAGGCCCAGTCCCGCCTTGACTACAGCACCCATTTTCGCATTCAACCTGCGCGCGCGATGGGAATGATTTCCGTGCCGATGCCGACAGGAGTTGCAGTGGCGGGCCCTACCTATTCCCGCCTCGTTCCTTGCTCTCGGTGGAAAACAACCAGCGCCGCTCCCGGTTTTGCAAAACTACCGCCACGTGGCATGCTCCCAATGGCCACAACCCGAGCCGCCTCACACCGGGCCACAGGAACCACACCCGCACCCGCATCCCGCTGCCCCTGGAAGATCGCACCGCCTCGGCACCTGCGTGGGGATTTGGATCAGCCGATGCCCCAGATCGCTGATGTGGACCTCTTTTTGGACGGCTGGATCAGAGGCCACATGGAGTCATCTCCACCGGCCAAGCGTTTGTGCTTCTTCACTGAGAATGACACATGGGCCCTACATGACGTCAGCGCATCCTTGAGTCTGCGCCACTCGTTTGAATCATGGCCGCACAGTGTCGTAACACGTGGGCCCTACCCATTCCTATCCACCCGATGAGCCAGCCGAATGGAGAAATATCTCGCTCTCTCTCTCTCGTACACCAACTCCACCGCCAGCGTGCTTCATCCAACTTCACCGTGCCCCCTCCACCTCCACCGCGCCTCCTCCACCTCCAGCGTGCTTCATCCAACTCCGCCTCCACCGTTCTCCGTCCACCTCCACCTCCGGTAGGGCCTCACGCAGATCAGGCACCCGACAGTGATGCATGCACGGAGCACCCGCCAGCGCGTGCGGCACTCGGGACTTGGCGGCGACGTAGCGTGCATGACCCGACCAGATCCAAGGAGACAGCGAGCGAGGGCCCAACCCCAGTGGTGGCTCGTGAGGGCATGGCCCCAGCAACACTTCTCCTCGGTGCAAGCAAATCCAACAGTGGGCGGCTCTTTCGGCAACGGCACGGTAGTGGCGGGTCTCCGAACTGGTGGTTGTGGCTCGGATCCGGCAAGGAGCGCCCAGATCCAGCGGCCGTGGCTTGGATCCGGTGAGCAGCGGCGACGATGCATCGATGGGCTCGGTGCGCCTCATGGATGGTCTCTCGACAGGTTTTCTTTTTTGTTTTTTAAACTAGTAACGTAGGTGGACATTTTGACCGCCTGCAAAATATCTATTAACAGAGGCGGGCTGCTTAGGGTAGCCACCTCCGTTAATGGGTGTTAAAAAAGGCGGGCACCTTAAGATGCCCGGCTCGGTTAACGGATTAACTTAGGCGGGCAAAGCGTCCGCCTTCGTAGGTCTGCATTAATGCAAACCTTTCACAGAGGCAGACGCTTTGCCCTCCTCCATTAACCCAAAATGACCACCTCGGAAAAGTATTATGTATTAGTCATATGTACACCGACCTAACTATAAGACTACCACTTTTACTTAAAGGTCCATATGATAGTATCCTTCCCTGATTGTAAATTTACATCCATAATAGTTGCAATCACATTATTCCATGCCAGCAATGTATTTCCAATCAGCGGCCTGCTAAAAGAGACATTAAGGGGAACTGTACGTGCTGAATACTTTGGCTATTGTTGCATGTTTTTTGTGAACTATGTTGATTAAGTTCGGGAATTTGCGGCTTAAGGGTTGGTTCCCTAACCAGGTATCTTCCCGAACCTGATGTGAGGACTGTCAATTAAGTTGAACCTCACCAAATCCAAAAACTAATCCTTCACGCAAGTAAGCCCATCCAAAAGTGAGAACCCCTAGCTTTCCTCTTAACTTGGGAAAGTGCTTTATCTTTAATGTTCTTATTTCATTATAATTCCTGCCACATTTCATCTTCATTACAAAGTTTGTATAACGATTTATTGAGGAGGGACTTATTCTATAAAACTAGATGTTGAATTCCTAACCCTCCTTGTTCCCTAGGTTGGCACGCTAAACCCCATTTTATAGGTCTATATTTTTTTTCTAGTGCTAATCATTTTACCAGAAAAATCTTGATCTATAATATTCTATTTTCTTGAGAACCCCTCAAGGTACCTCGAAAAAGAGAACAGATATATTGGTAAGCTGGACAACATGGAATTGAATAGCACAAGCTTGCCACCGAGCACCGACTAATAGAAACTTACTCTTCCAACAATAGAGTCTTTTCTCCATTCTTTCTTCAATAATCCTCTAGTCTTTATTATTTAATTTTCTAAAATTCATAGGTGTTCCTAGATATTGAAACGGATAGGATCCTACTTTACAACCAAAGAGTTGTGAATATTGAGCTTCACATTCTTTTGCTTGCTCAAAGTAGAAAACCTCACTCTTAAAAAAATTTATTTTTAGATTCGATAATTGTACAAAAGTACAAAGGTGCAACTTCATATATACCTTTTGTTTGTTCAATATCATGGCCCATAAAAATAATTGTGCCATTTGCATATTACAAAATTGATAAACCATATTCTATATGAGATGAGGCACAATCCCTTTTATCTGATCATCCTCTTTGCCTCTCACAATAATGATCACTCACATGTCCGCCACTATATTAAATAGTATGGGGACAATTGATCACCTTGTCTGAGCCCTTTCCTGGAAATACAGTCCTAGTTGATCTTTCACTTTTATACCAACATTCCCTCCTTGTACCAAACCTTGTATCCAGTTGCACCAAATTGGAGAACCCCTTTCTTGCAAAAAGTCCCATTTTACCTTACCATACGTCTTTTCGAAGTCAATTTTAAATAAAACCCTATTAAGTTTCTTTTTATGCAATTTGTGGGATGTTTCACATAGAACTATGGCTCACACCATGATATTTCTGCCAGGGAGGAATGCCATTTGTGTAGTCTTACTACTTTTTGCGCGACCTTCATAATTATATTGGGGTACGTTATTGGTGAAGATTTTAAAACTTACATTTAACAGACAGATTGGCCTATATGTTGTGTCTCGCTTCACTATATTTTGGGAGAAGAATAACTATGCCGAATGTAGAGGTAAGGTGTCCCTATGGAAATCCTCAAACAAAGCCATCAAGTCTCTTTTAGTTGCATTCCAGAAAGTTTGATAAAACACTGGCGGGAACCCATCGGGTCTTGAGGCAACATTATTTTTTATTTGATTTACCGCCTCTTTAATCTCTATAGTTAAAGCTTGTATAGTGGTTTTAGGGAATTGCAATTCCCATTCAGTACTGACTAAAATTCTATCTAGCTTCTCAAAAGTTGGGATTTGTAGGTTATTTGCCCAAGTAAACTGTCTACCTAATAGATCCAATTCCTTAAGGTTGAAGCCATTGATAATTGCATTAAAAACAAAATGCCATCTGTCGTTGTATCCTGAGTTATTTTTCTTAGATGGTTCTCTTATGATATTAAAATCACCACCTATAACAACAGGTAAGGTTTCTTTCGCACATAAGAGAGACAACTCCCATAAGAGCATTAATTATTGTTGTGCGGCACCGTAACAAGAAACTAATACGCATTTGGATGCTGTCTCTATTGCAAATCTTGAATTTTATAAAGAACTCCCTTCTTCTATCTCACTGATGTCAAAAGTTTGTAGTCTAATGCCTAGAATCATACCATCAGATCGTCCTTGGGTAGGTTTTATAATGCCACAAAACACTTTTAAGAAAAGTTTCCCAGCACAAAGATTTTTAAGAAAAGTTTCTGAGCATTCGCTCTTGCTTGTTTCTAATAAGACAATAAAATCTAGGCTTTTTTGGATAGTTAAATATGACATAAACTTAAACTTCTTAGTGTCACCCAAACTGTTACAATTCCAAAAATACCGTTCATTTGTAAATTCATTTAGTTTTGACAGATCTGCCCTTTGTTAAAAAAACTTGAACAACATATGTGGGAAGGACCAATCAGGGAGACTCACTTAGGGTTGCTCTAGGGTCTGCGAGGCCGTCTAGAACACCTGAAACCTCCGTCGAGAAGCTTGTAGAACAGCAGGTTAGGGTTAGAGGAGACTAGGACAAAGGGAGAATAAAAACTAAAGACAAAAAGATAAAAATTGTCGATCCATCGCTCAATCAGTTGTGTCCCTTTATATTTATAAGGTGGAAAGTCTATGGTGTGTTAGAGTCCAAATACATCACTAAAAACCGACCCAAAAGAAATATGGAAATTGAGTCGTTCTTAGACCTAGGCGTCATTGGCCATCCGCGCACCAGACTATCTGGTGCTTGCCTTTTGTGTGGGTCTCGTCAAATTTAAGTGGGACGTGTGCATGATCAAGAATTTCTGCATCCTCACCTCCTCGCACAACAGTTTTTTAGTCGCAAAAAACACACACACACAACAACTCTTCTTCCCCGACTCCGGCGCCCTCACCCCAGCCACCGCCGCTGCGTCGCCGTGGCGAGCAAGGGTTTTGCCCCGGGAATCATGGGGTCCGATATAGATGGGCAACGGGCCATCCCGGCACGGCACGACAGGGCCCATCGTGCCACCAGGCCGTGCCGCCCTGGGCTTCGTGCCTGGCCGACGGCCCAAGCACGGCCTGTTGGGTTGATTTTCGTGTTGGGCCACAAATACCGAGATAGAGAGAGAGAGAGAGAGAGGGAGCAAGACGGAGGGAAGGGGAGGCCGCGCTGGGGCTTGGGGCGGCGGGCGCTGCCGCTTGAGGCCGAGTGGCCGACCGCCGGTGAGCTCGAAGGTTGAAGCCGGCCGTCTCGCGATGGGGAGTGGAGGATGAGACCAGCCACCGACGCAGGGGCATGGAGGCGGTTGCCCTACTCGAGGCCAGCCGCTGCGCAAGGGGTGTAGAGGAGGAGGGCGACTGCTAACGATAGGCCTGTGCGGTGCGACGAGAGTGGGGAGGAGTGCGGTGCGACCAGGAGTGGGTAGGAGCCGAGTGCGGCGTCGTCGAGTGAGTGGGGCCGGGAGCGCATCGCTGCGACGCTCGGCTCGCAAGTGCGGGTGTGCGGCGCTGGGAGAGGCATGGTGGATTTGGGAAAGAAATTAGGGTTAGGGGGAAGGAGCTGGTGGCTTGGTGGGCTTTTTTTAGCAAAGGGTGGTGGGCTCTTAGCAGATCAGATTGGTCATCGGGCCTCTCACCAAATTGCAGGCCATGTCGGGCTAGCCCATGTGCCTAGGGTGCGGCCCAGGCACGGCCCTGTGTACCGGGCCATGCCAGCCCGGGCCCGCTAGCTACCGGGCCGGGCTATGCTCATGCCGGGCCAAAAATGCAGGCTTTGCGCCGGGCCGTCGTGCCACAGGCTGCATGCCCATATATAGGGTCTGACCAGTTGGGCCCGAGTCACGTGCCAACCACGAACATCCCACGCCTGGCCGCCTGCACCTACCATCATCAACCGTCGCGTACAAGACGGCCCATGGCCCACCATTCGTGCAGCGCAGTTCCGCCCTGCATGGTATGGACGAACAATATGATGAGCCCAGGTACATAAATGTGTCACATTTCTTTCTTTTTTATTTTACTTTCTTATTACTATATGTTCCTTTTTTTCTTTTTTCTGTGGGTTTTTATTATTCTTTATATTTTCTAATCTTTACTTTATTTATATTTCTAGATTTTATTTATATGTCCCATGCTTGTTCTTGTTTCTTTTCCTTTTTTCTTTTCTATGGTCTTTTACTCGTCTTTTGATTTTATTTAACTTTCATTTTTATTTTATTAATATTTTACTCTAGTTAATTATGTTTCTTTATTTCATCTTTATTTTCATGTTTTTATTTTTCTTTCTTTTCTTCTATTTACTTTTGCTTTCTCTTTTTTGTTTTATAGATTTTTATTTGTTTCATTTTGTATTTTTCATTTACTCTAGTTTTTATGGTAAAATCATTTTCATGTTTTAGTTTTTTATTCATATGTTACTTGTTATGTTCGTGCATTATACATGTCATTTTCTTTAATTTTTTTCCTTTCCTTATTTAAGTTATTTTTTTGTATATTTAGCATTTGTTATCCATGTTTTTATTGTATTTTTCTTCTTTGCTTTTTTATTATAATTATTTAGTTTAATACTTTATTTTTATTTTTTATTTCCTACATTTGATGTTCATGTAGCATACATGCGATGTTTAGTAGTATACTTGTGATGATCTCGGTTATATTTTATGATGTTCACGTAGTATAATGTGATGTTTTATTTATGACGCATTTGTGATGTTCATTAGTATACACGTGATTGTTTATTATATATTTTATAGCGTTCATGTATTATACATGTGATGGTCTATGATGTATTTTGTAATATTCACGTGGTAAACATGATGTATTTTATCATGTTCTTGGGGTATATATTTGATGTTCGGTAGTATACATGTGATGTTCTATAATGTATTTTATTATGTTCACATTTTATAAGTGAGATGTTCTAGATTGTCCTTGAGTGAGATTCAATAAAAGAAAATTTATCTTTATATAATATATTTTGTTATGTTCCTGCAATATATCATTTTTGTTTTAGAACATTTGTCTTAAGAACTAGAACATTATATCTGCTCAATAAAAAGTATTCTACCTTTATGAGAAAAATGTTATTTGATATTTTTTCTAAATATACCCAAGTGAGATCTTGTTTTGAAGAATTTACTGTAAGAAATATAATGGCACAATTGGAATTTAATTTTAAAACTCGGTTTAGAAGTTACAAATTTTTTTAACTTTCAAACAATTTGCACATGGATGATCAGCAAAATCATTTCACTTGCATGCATGATATTCTGTGTTTCCCTCAACCGCACCAATTTTTCGGCCCAACATGCAGTTTTGGGCCCACATATAATAATTCACGCGATCAATTTTTGGTGGCCGGTAAGGTACTGGACGCAACCTGGTCAGATGCTAGCCCGCCCCATTTCGCCTGAGCTCCGCAGCCGTGTACCTTGCCCGCGGTGCCACCTTCATCTCCTCCCCCCCTCCCCCCTGCCCCTGCCGCCACCATGGCCGGCCTTTTTCCCTCCGGCCGGCCCCTTCTATACCCGCACGAGTTTGGGAAGATGATAGGGAGAGCTCGTCGAAACCCTAGCTCAGAGATCAAGAGGAGGAGGAGAGAGGAGAGAGAAGGGGAGGCCTAACTAGCGCGGATCCACCGCCGCCACCACCGCATTTGCCATGGTCGGCGCGGGGAGGAGGTTGCCGGTGACGTGCTCACTGAGAGAGAGAGAGAGAGAGAGAGAGAGAGAGAGAGAGAGAGAGGGGGGGAGGTGTGTGGGCGGGTGGGGTGTGCGGGCTGAAACTCCAGATCCTGCACGTTTGTTTTTTCGCTTAATTTCTAGAACTCGATAGAAGCATTATTCAGCGAATAGGAAAAGTAATCCCATGATATAAACTACAGTACTCAACCAGAAGAACCAAATGAGATGATGCCTCCAATTGAATTCATAAAGAACAAAATTGACTTATGGCCTTTTATCTGATTATTATTGTTACTGCTAATTCACAGATGATCATGGTGTGTCACGCTTATGCTTTTTTTTAGAAAAAAAAAACTGTGGCATAGATCGACAAAGATACAATCGCCATCGAAGCTGCGGATCTCAGTGACTCCACAAGGGTTTATGCTTAGGTCCAATGCAAACACATCAACCTTCTCGGTTTGGAACAACGATATGTAAGGTTCGACGTATCTTATGATCACCACCAGGCCGCCACGCCGTTGCACACCTTGCTACCCAGTGCAGAGGGGCAGGCCGGGGGAACGGTGGCATAGTCATTGGACCCTCAAGGTGAGAGACATCGACCCCATGTTCATCTTCCCCGAGCGTCAAAGCGAAGAGCCATGGCGATTGGTCGGCGTACCAGGACCTGTGGAGCATGTACAGTTCCCCCTGGTGGAACACAAGGTCACTCAACCAGTCAACCCAGCGAGATTGGTAGACGTACCATGTCTTCATCCCAGGCTGCCACAGCGTAATCCCAGGCAAGCCACGCCAGTCTGAGAGCCCGGCGATTGGTAGACGGTACGAGAAGCCTGCCACTATGCACTTGGTCGCCGAGCCAGGCGGAGCAGATAGCACGACATGGTCGAGTGACCTTGAATACATGGGGTCGGGGTCATCGTTGGCAGTCCAGGGGAGCTCACCGGAGGTGGTGCAGTAGGGAGCACGCAGGCGGGGTAGACAGACGACCTCGTGGGAGAACGCATTCACCAGGAAGCGCTCGCGGACGGCGGCATCTTCGCAGGGCCTCGCCACTAGAAGCCACCCTTCGGAAGATCCCACACAACCGACATGGCCGGTGGCCACCTCCTCAGGCATCCACGCGCGGCGCATGGCGACAATTCCCCCATGGGTGGAAAAGCTGAAGAACCTGAACCTGGGGAGCACGAGCAGTGGTAACGGCGGCGGCAGGCTGTGCCCGTGCGTGGCGTCACGCCAGTGTCGACACACGGACCGCACGGAGGCGCGATCGGCGAGGGAGGGCAGGAAGCGGAGCACGACGCCTAGTATGTCCGCCAGAATGAACACCCACAGCGACGCCGCCGCGTCGTCGATGCTTGTCGTCCTCTGCCGCTTTTTGTCGAGTGAGTGCCTCGCCTGCAAGAACCGCAAGAGGGCTGCGGTCGTTCCCTGAGGCTGTGACTACGGACTCACCGGCGGTGTCGGCGACGGGATCCATCTGCATCCGAGAGCTCCGCCCCTGGGTTTCTTGATCCGATGAAGCCATCAGTGACGGATCTCGGATTTTACCTAAGGGTATACCATTATAAAATCTTTATATACAATCCGGTGAATTCCTGATCTCACTATATTATGAATGACTTGATAATGTTAGCAATCAAATAGACATGATTTTTCTGCAATACAGAGAAGTTGAAAGAGTGGCGATTGAATCTTACCTCGACGGGCCGGCACGCGGCTCTGCTTGTTAGTGGCGCACGTGCTGCGAAACTGACAACAGCCTAGGCGCCTGTGTAGATCGACTTCGTTGTTCGTCGATTCGAGACGGCGGCGGACGAGTCCCCGGCGTTGGTGCGATAGTACGTTCCGACTTCCGTGATAGCGTGGATGAATGAGCCTAAACTCTGGCCGAGTCCTATCGTGTGGCCAGCAGCACGCATCACCACACGTGGGCCTGGAAAGGCCGTGCTAGTCGCGTGTGGCCAGTAGGCAGTTGCAAGGCGGCCGGAGCGGAGGGCTCAGCGACGGTGCGGTTTGCAGAAGCGGGGAGCCGAGGAGCGGAGGGCTCAGAAGCGGGGAGAGGTTGCAGGAGCCAACCATCCCACAGGCTCCCATCACCGGTAACCACCGGTATAAAAAATGAATTATAAAGACGACCCTATTTTATATCAGAAACGGTTTATTTCACTACCACAAAAATAATTTGTAGCAACGTCTCCTTTTTTTTTACGAGCGGCTCTATATTGAATTGTCTCTACAAATGGTTGACAAACGAGCCGCCCCTACAAATCCATTTGTAAGGGCGGCTGGTGTTATTAGCTGCCCCTACAAATGTCCCCATTTATGCCGCCCCTACAAATATAGAGCCGCCCCTACAGATAGACGCTAAATAGTAAAAATTAAGTAATAAAATTTGAATTTATTCGTATGACCTCGAATGGAGAAATAACTGAAATAAAAGTTGTAGATCTCGAAAAGTTATAGAACTTTGTAGTTTGCAACTTTTTCATTTGAAATCATTTACTGTTTTAAAAGGTCGTTGGAAATTCAATTTTTAAATTGTTGGAGAACGTTGATTTCTCTTTTTAATCTCCGACTAAAACTTGTAAGTCTTTCTCCCATGTACTAACTTCAAATGTGATTATTTTTTCCTAAAATTTTCTAAAATTATGCTCTATCATTTTATTGTGTTGTTACAGCTATTATTTAGGTCATTTTTTTCATGTGACTTTGTTTTATCAATTCAAAATTTGAATTTGCAAAAATGGCAACTTGAAATAATATTTTGAAGGAGTAAATAATTTTAAATGAAAAAGTCATCAACAACAAAGTTGTAGAACTTATCAAGATCTACAACTTTTATTTTGGTGATTTCTTCATCCGAGCAAGTGATGGTAAAATTATTGACAAATTTACATATCACTCGTATAGTTTGATAAACTATAAGAGACATATGTAAATTTGTGAATAATGTGTATTACCACTTTGTCGGATGAATAAATGATCTAAATAAAATTTGTTGATCTTGATGAGTTCTACAACTTTTTTATTGACGGCTTTTTCAGCTGAAATTATTTACTGGATCAAAATGTTGTTTGGAGTAGTTATTTTTTAAAAATTTAAATTTTGAATTGTTCAAACAAAGTCACATAAAAAGATGACCAAAATAAAAGTTGTAGATCTCGAAAAGTTGTAGAAGTTTGTAGTTAACAACTTTTTCATTTGAGATCATCTTGTCAAGAAAAACTACGTTTAAATTTCTCAAATTTGAAATATGAATTTTTCAAACGACCTCGTACGGAGAAACAACCAAAACTAAAGTTGTAGATCATGAAAAGTTATAAAAGTTTGCGGTTGACAACTTTGTCATTTGAGATCATTTTGTCAAAGAAAACTACGTTTGAATTTCTCAAATTTAAAATTTAAATTTTTCAAATGATCTCGGATGGAGAAACAACCAAAATGAAACCCAAAAAGTTATACAACTTTATAGTTGACAAATTTTTGATTTGAAATCATATTCTCAAGGAAAACTACGTTTGAATTTCTCAAATTTGAAATTCAAATTTTATAAACGACCTCGGATGAAAGAACTATCAAAATAAAAGTTATAGATCTTGAAAAGTTCAACAACTTTATAGTTGACAACATTTTCATTTGAATTCGTTTAGGGCCTCAAGCAATTAATTTAAACTTGGTTTTGGATAATATGTGGGGAAACAAAATATATTAAGACATAAGTGAGTGTGAGGTGCAGTGGTAGAGGAACGTACGTGCGAGAGAGAGGTTGCAGGTTTGAATCCCGCCTGCCGCGACTTGCGACTTGTGCACGTGGCTAACCGGTGGGGGCCTCCCTGGATTAAGAAAAATTTGCTTTTTTTTTACCTGGATTCAAGAATTTCTGGAAATAAGCTGCCCTAAAAATCCGATTTGTAGGGGCTGTTCGTCAGCTGCCCCTACAAATCGGCCATTTCTAGCAACGGTTCGATAGAGGCGGCTGGTAAAACCGTTGCTAGAAATGGTCTTTCAGCCGCCCCTAAAAATCATGGCTGTAGTATTGTTTGTGGTTGTCTCTACAAATGCATACGAGAGACTCACCTCAAACCGGAGTCGTACACGGTGACTGTGGACATGCCTTCGCCAGTCAAGGTGACTTTGTTGAATACTCTCGTAATTACTACAGAAGCAGCAATATTTTCATCCTCGTCAATTTCTTTTACCTTGGTCGTCTTAGTTAGTATTACACCTCTGTTAGCAATAAAAAAATATCTTAACATTAAGGGGCAGCATTACCCGTCAAATTTCTTGTGTTATCATGATGTCATTAGTAGTTAAGAATTTGTATATCGACCTAACTATATAACTACGACTTTTACATAAGGTCCAATACGATGGTATCCTTGCTTGCTTGTAAGTTTACATTCGTAATAGTTATAATTAGATTATTCCATTCTAGCAATTTATTCCCAATCAGTGCCCTCCTAAAAGAGATATTAAGGGGAACTGTGTTGAATACTACGCCTACTGTAGCATGTTTTTTTGCGAACTATGTTGAACAAGTTCAAGAATTTGTAGCTTCAAGGTTGTTTCACTAACTAGGTATCTTGCCAGAACCAGATTTGAGAATCGTGCATTAAGTTGAACCTCACTAAATCCAAAAATTGATCCTTAACTGCCATAAAATCCATCCAAAATGAGAATCCCTAGCTTTCCTTTTAACTTGGCAAAGTGCTTTATTATTTATGTACTAATTTCGTAATAATTTCTGCCACATTTCATCTACATTACAAAGTTTGTATAACCATTTGTTGAGGAGGGACTTATTGTGTAAATTTGAATTTTGAATTTCCAACCCTCCTATTCCCTAGGTTGGTATCCTAAACCCCATTTTACAAGTCTATATTTTTTTTCTTGTGCTCATGATTTCCTAGAAAAATCTTGATCCATAATATTCTATTTTCTTGAAAGCCCCTCAAGGTACCTCGAAGAAAGAGAACATATACATAGGAAAACTGGACAGCTGAATTGATTAGCACAAGCCGGCCACAGACTGATAGAAACTTACTCTTCCAACTACAAAGTCTTTTCTCAATTCTTTCTTCCGTAATCTTCTAGTCTTTATTATTTAATTTTCTAAAACGCATAGGTATTCCCAGATATCGAAAGCGATAGGATCCTACTTTCCAAAGAGTTTTGAGTATTAAGCTTCACATTGTTTTCCTTTCCCAAAGTAGAAAATCTCACTCTTATGAAAGTTTATTTATAGACCCGACAATTGTTCAAAAGTCAAAGGTGCAACTTCATATTTGTTTGTTCAATATCATGGTGCATAAAAATATTTGTGTCATCTACATATTGCAAAAGTGATAAACCATCTTCTATGAAATTAGGCACTATCCCTTTTATCTGATCATCCTCTTTGGCTCTCGCAATAGTGATTGCTAACATGTCCACCACTATATTAAATAGTATAGGGATAATGAATTACCTTGTCTAAGCCCTTTTCTAGTTTTGAAATACGGTCTTAGCTGACCATTCACTTTTATACTAGGATTCCCTCGCTCCTTGTACAAAACCTTGTACCCAGTTGCACCAAATTGGAGAAAACTCTTTCATTCTAAGAGCTTGTTGCAAAAAGTCTCATTTCACCTTATCATATGCCTTTACCAAGTCAACTTTTCAAAAACAAAACATTAAATTTCTTTTTATGCAATTCATGGATTGTTCCATGTAGAACTGTGGCTCCCTCCATGATATTCCTGCCAGGGAGGAAAGCTGTTTGTGCAGGTCTAACCATTTTTTGTGTGAACTTCGTAATTCTGTTGGTGGCTGCCTTGGTAAAGATTTTGAAACTTACATTTAACAGTCCGATTGCCCTATACTGTTGTATTTGTTTCGCTTCACTAGATGTTGAGAGAAGAATAATCGTGCCGAACATGGAAATACTCAAACAAAGCTATCAAGCCACTTTTAATTACATTCCAGAAAGTTTGATAAGAGTCTAGCAGGAACCCATCGGGTCCTAGGGCAGTATTATTTTTTATTTCAAATATTGCCTCTTTATTTTTTGTTTTGGGAAAGTTTTGTGTCCCTCATTTTCCTTTTCTGAAACTTGAGGAATATCTTCTCTTCTCGATTTGTCCATTGATAATGGAGTGATGTCTAGCTGACTAAAGAGATTTTTACAGTATTTGGTGATATACTTTTTTAGTTCCGCATCACCACACTATAGCTTCCTCTTGTTCCAGATGGAAAATATGAGTTTTTCCTATGTTTCCAATTTGCCACTAAATGAAAATATTTTGTATTTGCATCTCCCTCTAGCATGTTCTTTACTTTTGCTCGTTGGTACCATTTAAGTTCCTCCTCTGAGAAGATTGTCTGATCTCTCATTAAGGACATGTTACAAATTCAACTCGTCCTCTTATGATATTAAAATCACCACCTATAACAACAGGTAAGGTTCCTTTCGTGCATAAGAGAGACAACTCCGATAAGAAGACCTCTTTTAATTATTGTTGTGTGGAACCGTAAACTGAAACTGATAAACATTTGAAATCTGTCTCTCTATTGAGAATCTTGAATTTTATGAAGAAACCCCCTTCTCCTATCTCACTAGCGTCAAAAGTCTATAGGTTGATGCCTAGAAGCATACCATGAGATCACCCTTGGGGAGGTTTATAATGCCACAGAAATTATTTCCCATCACAAAAAAATTTAAGAAAAGTTTCTGAGCATTCCCTCTTGCTTGTTTTCAATAAGACAATAAATCTAGACTTTTTTCAATAGTTATTTAATCTGACATAAACTTAAACTTCTTAGTGTCTGCCAAACCCTTAAAATTCCAAAAAGTATCATTCATTTGGAAATTCGTTTAGTTTTGTTAGATCTACCCTTTGTTAAAACACTTGAGCATATGCGAGGAGGACATATCGGGGAGACACACTTAGGGTTGCTCTAGGGTCTGTTGGGCAACCTAGAACATATGAAACTCCATCTAGAAGCCTGCAGAGCAGCAGATTAGGTTTGGAGGAGACAAGGGCAAAGGGAGAATAAAAACAAAAGACAAAAAGATAAAAAAAAATGTCGATTGGATTGCTCAGTCCAATATTTATATTCATATGGTGGAGTCCAAATGCATCTCCAAAAACCGACCCAAAGCAAATAGGAAATTGTGTCCTGCTCCGACCTATGGCGTCGTCCGGCGTCCACGCACCAGACTGTCTGGTTGTCTTTTGTGTGGGTTTTGCCAAATTGAATTGGGAGACAATACAAAATAATCTTAATTTCTTGAACTCACTAGAAACATTATTATTATTCAGCGATAGGAAAATCATCCCATGATTTTAAACTACAATACTAAACCAGAAGAACCAGATGAGATGATACCTCCAATTGAATCCATAAAGAACAAAATTGACATATGGCCTTTTATCTGATTACTGCAATACTGCTAATCCACAGAAACGAGATCATGGGCAATGTCACTCTTATGTTTTTTTAACAAGAAACAGCTGTGGCAATTTACTTACGATATTTTATTTGATTATTTTCAGAGTAAATTACATTCAGCACACGTTCAAAGAGCCACATGCTACTAACAATAGCAGAGCGCCGCAACTCACATTCGTCCAGTCAAACAACATCAGAATATATATTCCAGTCTCAGAGAAACAGCGTGTAGAAAATAAAATAGTGCCATCAGGTCACAGATGCAAGACATCAATTGTTGCATATAGAAAGTCCATGACTATCAACAAATTTATGCAAGACTCCAAATCATATCGACAGGAACTCAAAGAAACACAAGTGCCCTAAAATTAAATGGGGTTCTAAAATATGAGAGGCATACTGTAACTGAGAATCCTGCAAATTTAAATAAGTGACAGAACCAGGTAAGATATATCAGACTTAATCTGCAGTTCATTCGGGAGGGAACATCCACACTGGGCTCGCGAGCTTGTCCTCTGCTGGGTTACCCGACAATAGCTCAGCAGTGAAGGGCTTCACTGTACCATCTCTCATGTTGTACACAGTTGTCACATAACTAGGCTGGTCGTCCTTCTTATACTTATCGATAAAGTAGATAGAGTCACCTTGGACACCCTCATACGAGACGGCAGGAAAGGAAGTGCAGCGGCATAGATCGACAAACACACAATAGCCATCGAAGCTGCGGATCTCAGTGACACCACAAGGGTCTATGCTGAGGTCCAATGCAAACACATCAACCTTCTCAGTATGGGAGAACGATATGTAAGAATCCACATATCTTATTATCACCACCAGCCAGCCACGCCATTGCACCAAGTTGCACCTCGCTGCCCAGTTCGCAGGGCCGGGACGGGGGAACGGCGGCATAGTCACTCGATGCTCAAGGCCAGAGACATTGACCCCATGTTCATCTTCCCCGAGTGTAAAAGCCAAGAGCAATGGTGATTGGATGGTGTGCCAGGACCTGCGGAGCATGTAGAGTTTCCCCTGGTGGAACACAAGGTCACTCAACCAGTCAACCCAGCGAGATTGATAGACGTACCAGGTCTTCATCCCTGGCTGCCACAGCGTAATCCCAGGCAAGCCGCGCCAATCTGAGAGCCCGGGCACAGAATTGCGGTAGGAGAAGCCAGCCACTATGCACTTGGTCGCCGAGCCAGGCGGAGCAGATAGCACAACGTGGTCGAGTGACCTTGAATGCAGCTTGGGGTCATCGTTGGCAGTCCAGGGGTGCTCACCAGAGGTGGTGCAGTAGGGAGCATGCAGACGGGGCAGACGGACAACATTATGAGAGAGCGCGTTCACCAGGAAGCGCTCGCAGAAGGCGGCATCTTCGCAGGGTCTCGCCACAAGAAGCCATCCTTCGGAAGATCCCACGCAGCCGACATGGCCGGTGGCCACCTCCTCAGGCATCCACACGCGGCGCATAGCGAAGACTGCCCCCTGGGTGGAAAAGCTGAAGAACCTGAGCCTGGGGAGCACGAGGAGCGGTAGCGGCGGCGGCAGGCTGTGCCCCTGCGCGGCGGCACGCCAGTGCCGGCACACGGACCGCACGGCAGAGCGGTCGGCGAGGCAGGGCAGGAAGCGGAGTACGACGCCCAGAATGTCCGCCAGAATGAACGCCCACGGCACCGCCACAGCCGCTGTGTTGTTGATGCTTGCCGTCGTCCTTTGCCGCTTTTCGTCGAGCGCTTCGCCTGCAAGAAGAGCGAGCGGGCAGCGGGCGTGACGCTTCTGAGAAACAATCACCCCTGACCCGGAGCCGGAGGCGCTGACTACGGGACATGTTGTGGGTGTAGAGTACAGGAGAGGAGAACTGGACTCACCGGCGGTGTCGGTGACGGGATCCATCGCCGTCCGGGAGCTGCGCCCCGGGGTTTCTTGATCCGATGAAGCCATATCTCTGTACCGACGATGGCAAACGATAGCAACAAATCTGATGAGCTCGATCAATTAAAATTAAGACTCTTCTCTCTCTCTCTATATATATTAAATTAAAGAGCGAATCGTAAACTAGTCTTATCGACGGGAAACCGAAGAGAACAAGGCGTTATACGGTCACGTACGTACAACACCAGATGCTCTGTCGCGGCTCGTAGGTCTTGGTCAGGCGCCGCGGCCACAGGTCGAGAGAGGGAGGCGCCGCCGCAGTCGCGCCACCTGGCGAGTCGGCGACCGTCGTTCCTAACCCTTCGCGTGTGCATGCATGTGTACCACACTTAAGAAAATTCAAAATTTGATGTACTTCTCTCCTTTGTTGTTTCGAGTCCTTTACAACTAATAACTTCATTAAACTTTCCCATAAAAAACTTATTTTGCCACTTTTTTTACTATGAAATGTTTATTCATATGTTTATCAATAGTTATTACCATGCACGTTGATAAATTATTTGTATTTGAGTTCGTTATAAACATTTCTTGGGTCGTTATTAAGAAGGTTCTTTTGTTTTGGCTTCATATGAATTCCATTGATGAAAAGTAGACAAGCTAAAATAATAAGGAGAGAAACATACGTGGCTTTAATGAATCGGAAATGCTTCGTATACGGTGTCTGGATGGTCGGACGCTGTCTTAATTCCTAGGCCCGCACAGCAGACCGGGCCCAACCGGCAACTGGCCTGCTCTCCTACTCCCCATCTCTGTGACTGATAACTTCCCTAGTCCACCCGTCGCTGTGCTCACCGCACCGTGCGCCCCTCCGCCTCTCGTCACGGCGTCCACTCATGCCCGTGCGGGCACATCGTAATCCAGGACGCCATAGATCCCCTCTCATCCAAGCTTCCTGCCCCACCTGCCCTCTGCGTCATCATCGATGCCGCACCCTACCTCATCCACCGAAGCGACCCGCTGCGGCCTTCTCCAGCAAGCGCCCCACTCCGCCTCGCGACTTTCCCTAGTGCGTGGTCTGCCTTCTCCACCGGAGCGACCTACCACGGCCTTTCTCCACCGGAGCGGCGAGCTCCACGCCGGCGTCGAGCTTCGCGTCGACGAGCCTCCATTTGTCCAAGTAGCAAATAGATGTTACGTTGAAAGCACATGTTGCAAGAGTATGTTTCAAATATTTTGGATGTTTCAGAGGTTTATTGCAAGTGTTGTATATCCATGATGCAAAAGTATATTAGGATGTTGCACATGTTATAATGGCTATACACGTATGTTCCAAATATTTCATATGTTCTAGATGTATATTGCAAGTGTTTTTTCTGGATGTTGCAAAAGTAGATCTGGATGTTGTGTTGTAACACGGCCTCGGCGGGTGGCGAAGGCCTCCGACGGCGGAGTGTCGCCAAGGCGTCTTCGACCGTCTTAGGGCGGAGATCTGGCGCTGACTAAAGGAACTTTCCTGGCTATGCTCGTAGGGCGCTGCACGAGGCTCAGCGAGCTTGTCGCGGATTCCGCCCGGGCCAGGCACAAACATCTCCGACCGCTCAGGCGGACGCCGCCCCATTTCGGCTGACGGGCATCTCCGGCGATGAGGGCGGAGGCCGCCCTAACCCTAAACTAATCAAACAAACAGTCTTGCCTAAGTGTGTGCAGGTACCTAAGCGCAGGCGCCCGTGGTCCGCACGAGCGCGCCAGCATGGCCCCCACGCGGCCGGGCAGAGACCTACGGATGATGTCTCCGACCGGACCGGTGGAGACCCGCGAAGGCAACGGTGCCCCCCTAAAGACAGAGGCCAGCGTTGGGAACCCAGGCCTCTGGGCCAAAGACCAGGGCATGGTGGGCCAGTGTCGGTGTCTCCGACCTCCGGACCGGCAGAGACCCGCGAAGGCAACAGCGCGTCCCTGAAGACGGAGGCCAGCACCGGGAACCCAGGCCTCTGGGCCGAAGACCGAGGCATGGTGGGCCGGCCGCTTATGGAGGCCCGTTACTTGAAGACGGTGTGGCAGGATTGCCCCGCAAACAAGAGACTAGTGGCAGATGATTCCAGGAATGTACTGCAGCAGTTGAGGGGCATTGTAATAAACTCTGTCAAGAAGTAGTTGAGCCCTATAAATAAGGAACACTTGTAACTGTGCAAGGGGGTGGTAGATGAATTAATGAAACCATAGCTTTCCGTGCCAGCTTCCTACACGCCCACCTGTCGTGCCTATCCCAAGCCTCCGCCTGAGGGCGACGCCTGACGGGCGTAGGCCTCTATCTTCCCCACGCTGTCTGAGACCGCTTGTCTCAACATTGGCGCCCACCGTGGTTTGGCCAAGACAAACCAACGATGGCAGGGAAAAGAAAAACCACCACCAGAGCAGCAACGACCACGGGTCAGAGAGGAAGGCCTAGACACACCACTCGTAGCACCTATGCAACCTCGCCAGCGGAGGATGGCACCAGAGCAGATGGCCAGGGTCAACAACCGGAACCCCAACATCCAGAGATCCGAGATCTGAGATCCGGAGGCCCAACCAAACTCAGGTACAGCACTCGAGCAAGAACTGCAACAGCTGCAAGCACAGTTGCAAAGAGCGCAACAAGAGAGGGGACAGAATGGCAGCAACATTCGCAGCTAATCAGCAAGCTACTCAAGCGTCAGCACAAGCAGCAGAAATAAGGCAGCAGTTGACAGTCTTACATGCTGAGATGCTAAGTATGCAGCATGCAGTACCACCATCAACCTTCGCAATCCCAGCCTCCGCAGCAACACCAACTGCAACCATGCCTCCGCCAGTGATCAGCCCAACCACAACGCCATCTCAGGCGATGCGGAGGCCTATCGATCCCAAGTCCCCACTCTCTGAAGGCATACAACAATCGCCATGGCCAACGGCGTACAAGCCAATCACACTACCAAAGTTCAACGGAAAGACAGACCCCCATCAGTTCATTATGAGTTACGAGGCAGCAGTAGCCTCCGCCAGCACAGACGACGCCGTCCTGGCAAAGTCATTCGTTATTGCTGCCGAAGGTGACGCGTTGGCTTGGTATTCCATGCTCAAACCAAGCATGGTCTATTCTTGGGAAAATCTCCGGGACAAGATATTGGCAAACTTCAAGGGCCTAGCAGCACAGTCGCTGACATCCACAGATCTATTCCAGTGCAAACAAATCCAGGGAGAGACACTACACGACTACTTCCAGAAATTCGTGCAACTAAAGGCGAAGGCACCAGACGTCCCAGAAGAGATCGCCATTGAAGCAGCAATCAAAGGCCTCTGAATCGGGCCGTTCGCAGCACACCTAGCAAGAAAGAAACCAACTTCCATACAGCAATTGTATGACGAGTTCGAGAAGTACTGCAGATCAGACAATGACCTACGGAAAAGGCTAGAGGAGTAGGGTCAAAACAGACAGCAAAACAACAGCAAAAACTCCCAGAAGAGCTATACAAACCAGAATGCATCAAATCAGAAACCAGGCCAGGGGCAGGTGCTCAGCATCGAGGGTCAACCTTACCCCGAACAAGGGCAACTGGCAGCGCCGGAGACCCAGACCAGGAACCAAGGTCGGCAAGGTCACCAAGGAAAAAACTAGAACAAAAACCACAACCAGAAACAACGCATGCCATATTGCGTTTTTCACGGTGAAAGCACAGGGCACAGCACCAAAGATTGTCCGGGGACAAAAGTGACACAGGAAAGAATGAAGAACAAGCAGACTGCCCAACCTATGGCACAGCAGAGCGCAAGAGAGGTCAACAACACCTACACAACTGGCCACCAATAGTACTGCCCGATGTACCCAACGCTAAACGCAAACCAAATACATCCCTCCACACTAGCCTTCGCCTACTTCCCAGAATTCCTACCGGCATGGCGGTCAGCGCCCTCGCAGCAGCCTCCGGCGAGCAACTATAGGTCGGAGGCAAGCCTGACCTACATAAACCCAAAACATCCCCACATAACCTACCTTGAAACAAACCAACCGCCACAAAACCAAAACAGGTTCGAGCATCCACCGCAACAGTAGCACATGCAGCAACTGCCTCCGCCGGCACCTCACAACCAACCCCCAACACCAAAAAATGAGCCAAACCCAGAAAACCAAGTCAACCCTCATGGAGCACTATCAACAATAGGCATGATACCGCCAATCGCCGGAGGATCATCAATGGAGTTTCAAACAAAAAAACAGAAAAAGGATCACCTCCGCCAGGTAAACAATGTAGCAGTCCAAGGCCCAGCGAAATACACAGATTGGTCCAGAGTCCCAATCACCTTCATAGAAGAAGATCTCCAGCTAGAGAGCTACCCTCACGCAGACGCAATGGTAATCAAGACCAACATAGCAGCATGGAAGACAAGCAGAGTACCGATCGACACTGGCAGCTCAGCAGATATCATCTTCGCAAATACCTTCGACCAAATGAAGCTCAGCAGAAATCAACTACAGCCCTCCGAATCCCCTTTAATAGGATTCGGAGGCAAGCAGATACAAGCACTAGGAAAAATCTCACTCCCAGTGTTGTTTGGAACCCAAGCAAATGCTAGAACCGAGTACATAACCTTCGACGTCGTCGATCTGTATTACCCATACAATGCCATCTTGGGCAGAGGATTCACAACCAAATTCAATGCAGCCCTGCATATGGCCTACATGTGCATGAAAATACCAGCACTCCATGGTATTATCACAGTCCAAGGCAGCCAAAAAGAAGCAAGAAACATAGAAAAATCTATCTACATAGCCCAAAGAAACATCAATGCAGTCGAGTCGATAAACGAAGAACAAGAGCCTCTGGATATGCCTAGAGGAAAAACAGATATGGCAGGTCAAGAAGAGACAAAGCTGATCCCTCTAGAAAAGGAGTTACCAGACAGAAAAGTAACAATCAGCTCAGAATTGAGCAAGGCAGAGGAGGAAGAGCTCATGGAAACTCTAGTGAAAACAAGGATATCTTCGCCTGGTCAGCCTCCGA